CCCTCTGTATGGGGTAACACTAAGCTGTGTGGAGAAGATGGCCAAAGGGACAAGATTTCAAGTCTCTTGAGCATCTTCTCAGGGCCTCATACCAGGCTTGATGCTCCCTGTGGCCCATCCCATCTGAGCATCAAGCCAAAGAGTTGTATTCCTGTTTCCCATTTCCCATTTTATAGATGAACAAATTGAAGTTTTAAAAAATTACATAGCTTATTCCAAATCACACAGCTGGTAGGTGCCAGTGCCAGGTTGTACTTAAACCCAAGCACTGTCTACTCTGAGGAAGACCCAAGGCACCCAGGGGCCCTGCCAAGCTGCAATTCCTGCCCGCCTGTGGACAGCCACCATGAGCTTGGCAAAGACAAGCCTCACCTGAACTATCGGATGCTTCCTTCCTCCTTCTTGGTTTTGCTTTGCTACAGGCTCAATCTCTTCTCAGCCCCCAAAGGCCTCCTTCCCCAGATCTGTCCCCAGAGGCAGGCCCCGCCTCCCTTTCCACCTCACAGGGCACTCCACAGAGCTGCCATCTGCTGGGTGATGAAGAAAAAGGTTGTGAGGCAGCTGCTCATGGGGCCTGGGTCCCCGGGGAGTCCCAGGCTGTCCTGCCCAGTAGGGGCCAGATGGAGATGGCTCTCCCACCTCCAGCTTTCCTGAGAAGCCAGGTGGTCCTCCTCCTCACTATGGGCTTGAGGTAGGTCCTCCAAAGGCTGGAAAATGGCTCACCGACTTGCAGGCAGAGCCTCCCACTTTCCTCTTACAGCCATTTGGCCAAAAAGTCTCTGGGCTGCCCAGGGTCAAGGCTTCTCTTTGCCTTCCCCTTTCTTGTTCTTGCCTTCTCACTCTGCCTGTCTTCCCATCTACCCATGGGGCAATGAGTGCTGCGGGTGCCTTTAGGACGGGCAGAGATGAGGTGAAATGCCTGCAGGTGAGAGGAAATCGGGGCTTGGAGGATGAGGGGCCCAGCCTGCCTTGAGAGGCTGATGGATGACCCCACTCCTGAGAGGCCAGTGTTTACAGAAACTGGCATATCTGTTTCTTGTGGTGAGTCGGCCCTGTTCGCCCTGGCTCCCTTCCCCTGTACCCTGTGGCTGTGACCCCTTCACTGTCTGTACACTTTGTGAGCTCTGACTTCCAGGGCTGACGTCTTGCTTGGGGGACTTGGGTGCTTGTTTTTCCTTCTGGGGGTTTGTATGCTTGCTCTTCTAAACTGGCAGAGCCTAGGGCTGTGGCTCCTACCCTGTGTTTTCCAGGTTTTATGGGTTCAGAGCTTTCTTATGACCGGGCAAGATCATCACACGAGTTAGGAGAGTTATAGCTGTCTCTGTTTGGTTTCTAAGTGCACAGAGTAGCTCTGAATCTGGAAAGGGGTTATTAGAAGGAGGGCCGTGTGGCCCTGTCCTGCAAGTTTTCTTCCTTTATGTTTCTGGGTCTTGTGCATCCAGGGGTCCCAAGGGCTTGGGGTCCTGCATCCCTCCTAGAACCCGTGCGAGGGCCTCTGGTTTCCACACTGCAGAAGTGGCCCAGGACACATCTGCTTCCGCTCCACTCACCCACTTGTCCATTTGTCCAGCCAACACTTACTGAGCACCCAGCACATACTAGGCACAGAGGAGATGTGGGGATCACCTGGGATCAAAATGGGTTTGTACCTGCTTCCTGGAGGCTCACCTGCTACTGACTGCCTGGACAGGTGAGCAAGTGTAAGGGCTGGCTAACATATGAGTGATTTCTAGATGAGTCTGAAGATGAGGCCCAGATGGAGTTGGGGTCAGGGAGACAATGTCAGAAAGCAGAGGGCTGACTTGGGCCTGGTAATGCACATCTGTAATACTAGCACTCAGCAGGGCTGAGGCAGGAGGATCGTGAGTTTGAGGCCAGCCTGTGCTACACAGAGAGACCCTGTGTCAAACAAAACAGAACAAAAAACCCTCGAGGTCTCTGGGAAGTTGGCACTGCTGAGGACAGGGACTGAGGGTTGTTCTCAGATTTCTGGCCTGAGGACCTTTGTTGATGGTGGTGCCCAAATGAATACAGCAAAATCAAGCAAAGAAGGCTAAGCATGGAAGACAGTGTTTAGTTCAGGACAAGCCAAATCTGAGGACGGCTGGGGGCTGCCCAGGGGAGACAGGCAGCAGAAGGCAGCAGAAGGAATGGGAAACACAGGAAGAAACTGTGATGGACTAGAGCCTGGAAGCAGCCAGCCCAGGGGCTGCAGCTGGGAGCAGAGTGAAGATGACAAGGTCTGTTTGCAGATGCGAAAGGCAGGAACTGGGCTGGATGTCAGAGTCTGGCAGCCTGGGGCAGGTGCAGGACAATCCCTGCCTCCACTGCCATAGGGGACCACTGATGGGTGACAAGACAGTCAGATCAGCTGGAAGAGTTGGAGAGGGATCTGGAGTCAGGGAACCAAAACTGATGTCACCAGGGAAGGGGATGCAAGTGAGAGGATCCATTGAGTGCAATACTAAGTGGGAACCATGGAATGGCTTGGGTACACGGAAGTGGGTGGGGTGTGGGGCGAGGGGTGTAGGAGGAGTACACTGAAGCAGGTTTCAGGTGCTGGAAAGGCCAGGGGGGCCCTTCTTAGGAAAGTTTGGGGAAAAGGGCAGGGGTCGAATTGGACAATGTGAGGTGAGGAGCTCACAGTGTCCTGAGATCTTAGAGTACCGCAGGCTGGGACACCCCTACATCTCAGAGATGAGGGCTATGGGGCCTAGACAGGCGGGTAGGAGATTCAGGAGCCTCAGCAACTCCTCCAGAGTGCTCAACTGTGCATTTATTCATTTAACACACATGTATTTTGGTGTCTACTGCATACCAGGCCCTGGGCTTGCTAAGGTGGGGTTATGGCTGAGGGGGATCCAGAGATGTGCAGGGACTGCTTCTGAGTGACCCAAAGCATTGGTGACTACCCTCTAGGGTTTTTAGGGGGTGGATGTGCAGAGCTCTTCTGTGGTGACAGCCACCACTATTAGCACAAATGGGCCAGGCTGCGCCTAGAAGTTTTTTTTTTTTTTTTTGGTACTGAGGTTTGACTTAGGGCCTTGGGCTTGGCTTGCTAGGCAGGTGTCCTACCACTTGAGCCACTCCACTAGCCCTTTCTTATGTTGGGTATTTTTGAGATAGGATCTCTTGAACTATTTGCCAGGGGCTGGCTTCCAACCATGATCTTTCTAATCTCTTCCTCCAGAAGAGCTAGGATTACAGGTGTGAGCCACCAGCACCTGGTCAACCCCAGCTTTTGGAAAGCCCTCCACATGCAGCGCTTCCAGTTTTGACCTTTCCCAGCTGTCTCCACTGCCAGATGCCCCTGCCTCACCAGCAGGGAGAGGCAAGAAGGAGACCATGGCAGGCCTCTGTGGGGCAGGTGTCCTTGGGCTCCAAGGTGCCCCAAAGAGTAGCCTTTGGGGCTGGGACTTGGGCTTTCATTCCCTCATTCTTTTTAAAAGAATTGTTTTATTAATTAATTTATTTATTAGTAGTGTCATGAGCTCAGGGCCTTGTGCTTGCTGGGCAGGTGCTCTTCCACTTAAGCACTCCTTCAGCCCTTTCCTTTTTGGTTTTGCTATTTAGGGTCTGGTGCTTTTTGCTCAGGGCCAGTCTCAGACTTCAGTCCTCCCATCTATGCCTCCTGCACAGCTGGGAACACAGGCATGTGTCACCACACCCAGCTTATTGACTGAGATCCCCACTTCAATCTTGCTTTTTGCCTAAGCTGGCCTCAAATTGTGATCCTCCTGATCTCTGCCTCCTGAGTTATAAGATTACAGGTATGGGCCACCATGCCTAGCCTCGTTTCCTGACTCTCTCTCAAGAACAGAGGAACAGTGACAACAATGTACTAAGCTTATACTGTCCACTGGAAATAAGCTCATCAGCTCTTGACCTGTACCCTCCCTGGGTACCCACAGTAGCTGGCAGTCATCTCCTGGACATGCTTTGTGGATTGTGAGTCCTACAGCCAGTTCTTCCCTCCAGCGTGTGTGGTGACATTCCCAGCTGGATGGGATATAGCAGCAGTCCCTGAAGTTCAAAGATTTCACAATTGGGCTTCGGCTATTTGGAAGAGATGCCCCATCCCAAAACTCATGGTTGGTAACCAGTGGTAGAAATTTAAGCAGACTTTAGAGAGGGGACAAGGTGTTATCAGAGTGAGGATGGGAGTTGGCACAGGACAGCTGAGGCGGCAGGGGGAGGAGGGCATCCCTTACTTCACAGAGACTCAATGTCCTGACTTCTCAAGGGGAATGGATGGACTGTTATGTGCCCCCCCCCAAATTATAACAAATATTGGTGGTTTGGGGGCTCAAGAGAAAGCAGATGGATGCCATGGGAGAAGTGAAGGTGGCGTGGGTCATAGAGCTGGAGCTGGTGGAAACTGGGGAGGGTGCTGTCTTGGGAGTCTACTTCCTGAAGTCATAGCATTAGGGAACCAGGAGATGATGCTTGGGTAAAATCGTGTAAGGTGTAAGTAGGAGGAGCTTCCTGGTGGGGGACCTGGGACAATTTCCTTAGTGCAGAGGGCCCCAAAGAGTGTGCTCTGTGGAACCCTGATACCATGCAACATTGCCTGTGGCACTTAGGTTTGGGAAGAGCAGAAGGCTTTCTATTTCCCCTGGGAGCCTCGTGCAACACATGTCACCTCATTAAAGGCTCTGAACAGCCCTGCCATAGCAGAATGGTTTGCATGTGTCTCATTCAGCACTTCCCACACTCATTTGGGCTGGTGTGTGTGTGTAATCCCATTAATATGCCACATTTTGGGAAGGGCTGATACAGGGAAATGGACCACAGAGGAATTTTCAGTTTTTAGGGAGCTGTCAGGAGTCTCCAGTGTTGCCCTCCCCGAACCATCAGTCCCCATTAGCCCTGGTCAATCAAACCTCTGAGTCCTTCTCTGAACCCCCTGCCCCCAGGCTGTGCTGTAGCTGGACCCAAGTGGTGATGGATAAGGAAAGAGAGTTACAGGGTGGCGGCAGACAGATAAGGAAGACACTTACGGGGGCAGGGGCGTTTGAAGGACATGTAATCCTTGGAGCAGAACAGTGGAGCCAGCCTGCCCACGGGCACAGCTCTGACTTCTCGCAGGGAAGGCCCCTCCACTCACCTGTGGAGACACAAACAGGCAGGTGATGGGGGCACCCACAGCACCCTCAGGCCCTGTAGGCTGGGTCCTCACATCCCAAGCCTCCAACCTCTGGGGGAGAAGAGGATGACTTGGGGCCATGTGCCCAGTCTGGGACCCCTGAGCTAGAGTACGGGGATGTGGGTGCAGGTGTGGGATGAGTGAGTGCTGGGGTCCCAGCGGTGGGTGGAGGGATGGGGTGTCTGTCTTCGTTGGGCCCTGAATCAGGAATGAGAGGTGCCCCCGAGGTCCCACTGCTTCAGAGGGTCATGCATCTTGAGCATCTTACAACTCTCAGGGCTGGAAGACCCTTAAAGATCAGCCTGATGGCTCCATTTCATAGCCAGAAAACTGAGACCTAGAGAGGGGGAGGGGCTAGTTCAAGGGCTCACAGCTGGTTTTGGAAGGGTGCTCCATGACACCTAGCTCACCATCTTATGATTACTACCTAACACTTTGAAGAGGCGGATGCTCTTTTTCTCCTCATTTTATAAATAAGAAAGCTAGGCTTAGAGAGGTTACATAGCTTGCCCAAGGTCACACAGCTTCTAATTACAGCTTAGGACTAGTCAGGTTTGTTTGACTCCAAAGCTCACACAGTCGGCACCCAGTATATTAAATTACCGATTCAGAAATAAAGGCTATGGAAGGAAAACGCCTCTTCCCCACCTCCTATCCTGCCATGTGAACTCATTGTTATGCCTGGATGTCCAAGGCAGCCAGGGGGTGCTAAGTCACTTTAACACTTGTTTGCAAATGGAGAAAATACTTCCCCAAACTAACCCCTCGTCCTGTGTTGTTAAAGATTTGAACCAGATCAGTCTTTCTTGGTGTGCCACACCCCAAGTGACAGAGGCTGTGGGAGCAGGAGGCAGATACATTCTTACCTCCTAGGATTGCACAGCTTTGAGAAACCAAACTATTCCTTTGGGGTCTGCAAACAGGACCGTGGATGCTGAGCTCAGGAGAAGCTGGCACCAGAAACCAGCAGGAAACTGACTTCCAGGTTTCACAAGGTCTCAGGCTTCCCTGATCCTGGGATGACATCACTGTGGCCAGAACTTGTCTGTCAGAGGCAGATCCAGAGGTTCCAACCTCGTCTCTCTTTAGCACTCTTATTTACATATATTTCCCCCCCCACACACACACTAAGCAGGTCCCAGGTTTTGATGGAGTCCTTTGGCCAACAAATGGCATTGTCTAATTGGTTTTTCTTATTGAACAAATGAATCAGAGGCCTATCTTTGGGAAGCCTTGCTCGGAAGTCCGACTCCTAAGCACTCATGTCAACTCAGCCACTTCCTGGCAGTGACTTTGGGCCCAGCTTTTCATCTCTCTGAGCCTCATGTCTGGCATCATTAAAGCAGGAACAAGAACACACAGCGGGTTTCAGGAGCATGGTGTGTGACGACCAGCCCCTGTCCTTCCCCAGAGAGCCTGAGGGGGGCAGAAGGGAGGCAGCGGACCTGGGGACTCCTTGCAGCCCCCTCTGCTCACTCTGCTCAGCCTTCCAGTAGCAAACCCTTTGGCTGGCCTGACACCCACTCTCGGTCTCCATGGAAACCAAGGGGCGAGTTCTGACCTGGGGAGTGGGGGTGGGAGGTGATCTCCAGGCTGCTGGGGAACTGTGATTTCACACCAGACAATTCAAGGAGAGTACTGGGGCCCGTGATCTTCCTGTTCTAAAAATACATGCGGGTACTTGTGTCGTTGATCACATTTGTGGGTGCGCTCATGTCTGCTGTGGTTGTGTGTGCATGTATACATGTGTGTGTTGTGTCTAAGGAGGGGGGATGTAAGTGGGCTGACCGTTCACCTCTCCTGCTGCCTCCAGAGAGATCTTTCTTAAAGATGAAATGCATGTCACTCCTTTGTTGAAAAAAACCTTCTATAGCTCCCCTGTGCCTTCAGGAAAACCGGCCTGATTTCTTACCATAACCTTCCCGGGGTCCTCAATACTTCTCTAGTGAACTGGTATACTATAGGTGCTTAATAAGTGCAAGCTGAATGTACTTCCTACAGGGCTGCTTGGGGTGGTACCTGATGCCAGGGAGGGTGTGGATCACCCTCTCCTCAAGGGACTGTCCTCAGGGTCCTTCCCAAAGACCCCCCTGGACCCTTATTTCCTCTCACTGGGGCCTATGATGCCGGGTAGAGGCTGAGGCCTCGCAGGGAGGGGGATGGGCCTCACGGGACCAGGGCACCAAGGTCTCCTGCATTGCATATGGTTTTCCATGGTCAGGTTGGGGTTTGGAGGACATTGTGGTTCAAGAGACTGACAAGGGGCCAGCTGGTTCAAGTACACATTCCTATCTGTGGAGGCTCTCTGGGCACTTGGGCCTTCAGGTGTGACCCAATGGACGTGATTGCAACAGATCATTTTGCAGATGGGAAAACCGAGGCTCAGGGTGATAGCTCACCTAAGGTCATGGAGAAGACACGGAGGAAGAGCTGTGTGGGGGACTCGGTCACGCCCGGTTACTGCCAAAGGCACCACTCAGAGATCTGCTGCCCCTGGTATGCTAGCTTCTTGGACAAAATGGGCCTCCCATATTTCCAGGTCATTCCCTGTCCCTGGCAGGCCAATTCTTCCCCCTCATCCTGGCAAACTCCTACGTAACCATCAATACCCAAGGGCTTCCTTAACTGCTGGAGACAAAAGGGTCCCACAGCCCAGCACAAGAGCACCTTTCTAGGCCAACTCTGGTCCTAAATTATTCTACACAGCAGTTCCTCAGAGCATAAGAACTTTCGAAGTATTTGGGAACCCTGGACGAAGTCAATCTTGGCTTGATGCTAAAGCATGAGGCCATGCTGAGATGTCTTCAAACGATCTGAGAAGGAGGTTCTGTAAAGAGTCTCTCCAGACACCTTGTCACCCACAGTGACAATACCCACAACAACCAGGATCACCACTCCCCGCGTGGTGCACCACAGCTAGCTCTTTACACATACCCTCTGGCTGTGGTTCCCCCAGCATCCCCCTTGGCTGGTATCCCCTGATTCCTTTACCAAACACCTGCAAGGTGTCCCACAAAACCCTGGAGAGACACAGGAAGGGCTTCAGGGACCCTGAAGCAAAAGGTAGCTTTTTCAAGTTCACTGTCTAGTTCCTCTTCCCCCTGCCCACTTGAGGATCTCAGTGGGACTCACAGGAAAACCTGCCTGATGGCCTCTGAAGCTCTGGAGGAGGTGTCTATGTGAACAAGTGGCCCTTGTCCTCACATGGGTCCAGAGCTGAATGATAAGGGCTCAGGACAGATGGGGGCAAGACTGGGCTTGGCTGGGGGTGGGGAAGGGTCCGTGTAGTTGCTGGGTGAGCTGAGCATCAGCCCACGCAGAGGTCACTGCTCTCCACCCGCCTCACCCTGAGCCCAGCATCCCAGGCTCCTTTCTGCTGTGACTCATCTCTGACTGGATTGTCTGGCTGGGAGCACGAGGGAGGGTGGGCGGGCGGGCAGCACTCCAGGCTTTGAAGTGGCTGAATGGTGTGTAGCAAGTCCACATCTTTTCCATTCCCCCCATGGAATGCCTCCACTCTGGGTCCTGAGGCGACACTCAGACCTGGGCAGAGGGGTGTGTGACTAAGGGGAGAGCTGGGGTCTACATGGGCACAGGACCAGGTGGCTCTTGGTGCTCAGATGGGAGCTACAGAGTGAGACCTAGGAGCCCCTGCCTCAAGCTGGGAGCAACAGACAGGGGAGGGCAGGGGAAAAGGGCTGGCTGAGTGATGTCCTGTGTGTACAGCACCTGCTTGACTGCTGTCGTGTGCTGTTAGCTCACTGGATCCCCCAAACAAATCCCCATTTCACAGATGACAACCTGAGACACAGAAGAAGAAAGGGGCCTGTTGAGGGAGTGAGCTGCCTTCCCCAAAAGGGCTTTGAGGAGGATCTGAAGCAGGGCAGCCATATGGCCAGTGTTTGTTCCTTTCAGAAGTCCTCCTTGGACTCGGGCAGAGCTGCACAGGTGTACATAGCAGGAGGCAAGCATAAGTGGTGGAGTCGGAGGTGAGGGTGCTAAATGATTAGAAGGCAATTGTGACAGCCTGGGTTAGGCCACCTTTGAACTCAAAGCCTTGAGCTTGCTAGGCAAGTGCTCAACCACTTGAGCCACTCCCCCAGCCCCTTTCACTTTAGGTATTTTTTCAGGTAGGGTCTTGTGATTTTGCCTGGGCTGGCCTCACACTGTGATTCTTCTACCTATGCCTCCCACATAGCTGGATTATACACATGAGCCACCATGCCCAGCCCTCTAGTGTTACTGAGTCTCTTGTGTACCATGTCTTGGGTGCTGAGGGTAGTCCCCTGACAGGCCCTGTCCTCAGGAGGCAGTGATAGAGTTTGTTAGATGACAGCAGGGGATGGAGCAGGACAGCTGTGCAGGTGTGGACTGCACATGTAGATAGAGAGGCTGTGGAAGACTTTGGCGGGAGAATGACAGGTAAGCAGAGGAAGTCAGCCAGCTGGGCAGATACCTGGAGGGGGGAATCCAGGGGGCCAGGAGCAGACAGTGCAAGAGCCCTGGGCAGGAATATCCAGGTGGATTTGACAGACAGGTGGACACAAGGCAGAAAAAGAAAGGGGAGGAGGAGAGGATGATTAGGATACTCTTCATTGAGGCTGGGACCCAGCTGTGGGGATGTCCCCAGTGGAGAAGAACATTCCTTGGCAAGCGTGCAGAAATCATGTGATGTTTGTCCTGCAGGTGGACGCAGGAGAGCATGAGCTCCAGAGTGGGGGAGGGAATGAGTGAAGAGAACAGTGGCCAAGGTTGAGTGGGAGGCCTTGAGGCTTGGTTCTGGTGTTATAAAAGGGACCTGGGCATGTGAGAGCCTCCGCAGCAAGGAGGCCTTTGTCTCCATCTGGCCACATGTGTGTATGCGGGAGGGCCTGGAGGTTGCTGGGTGTCCATATTGCCTTAATTTCCCTCAAGTAGCTCATAGGATCAACTGCAATCCCCTTCCCCAACACCACTGTGGCCCAAACATAGAAGGCTCAACTTCCTATCCACCTGCATCTCCAGTCCATATTCAAGCCAGCAAGAAGATCCTGACCAAATGTACAGAGAAGCCTGGCTCAGGGTTCAGAAAACACCAAGAGACATAGGCAAGCATTCCTTATAGCAATGACATATGAGCGGTAACTCCAATGTTGCCACTAGTAGGGGAGAATAGACTGAGCAAATTATGGCTCTGCTTCTAATGGAATATTATATAGCTATGAAATCGTGTTTTTCAAGAATTTTTAGAACATAAAGACTTTTAGTATAGCATTAAAAGAAAAAAAGTTTTGTTTTTTTTAAAAAAAAACAGGTTCTGTAAGGTTAGATCAAGAAGAATTAACCTAGAAGGTAACACGCATGCACAGGAAATTAATGTGAGTCAACTCCCTGTATAGCTATCCTTATCTCAACCCGTAAAAACCCTTGCTCTTCCTATTATTGCTTATACTCTCTCTTCAACAAAATTAGAGATAAGGGCAAAACAGTTTCGTCCGGGTATTGAGGGGGTGGGGGGTAGAGGGAGGGGGCAGGAGGGCTAGGGAGGGAGGGGGTGGGGCAGGGGGCAAAAATGACCCAAACATTGTATGCACATATGAATAAAAACAAACAAACAAAAAAAAACCAGGTTCTGTAACTGTGCATACAGCATGTTTTATTTTGTAGAAGAAAAAGCCCCAGTGAGTAGATAGCAAAAAGATTAAAGATAGAATTTCATGTTCGCAGTCATTGTGCTGTTTGGGCTGTGGTGGGATTAAGGGGGATTTTATGTTCTTTATATTTTTATGACAGTCCAAACTTTCTACATTGAACATGTATTTCTTTGATAATCTGAACGATAATTAAAATGAAGATTCAGAAAAGAACCTTTTGTGCTAACAAAGTAAAAGGTTTGAATATGCCATTTGTTATTGAAAAGATTTTTAAGTGAACTTGCCTTTCAACTTAGTGATAAGAAGCCTTTTTGAAATATTAGAAAGTCATCTTTATCATTTGTAACCTTCATCAAGTTATCCCCGGTATAAGTCTATTTGCCAGATAATTGAGGAAAATGGTTTCTTCCACACACTTGGCAATAATAATAATAATAATAATAATAATAATAATAATAACAGACCTTATGTTTGCAAGACATCTTATAATTTTGCCAAGCTCAGTGCCATCCTAGGCTCTGCAGATATAGTGAACAAAATGGTTAAAGAGCCTTGCCCTTGTGGGACTGGCGTGATACTGATGAGGGAAGACAATAAACAAATAATTGAGGTCTAGAGAGGTTGGAAGTGATAAGTGCTCAGCAGAAAAATGGGGAGAAGAGTGGTGAGGAATGGGAGATTGTTCTTTTAAACCAATTTGACTGAATCAGCTCAATTATTATTTTAATAGAAAAAAATGAAGGTGTGGCTGGAAGAGTAGCTCAAGTGTTAAAGCAAGTGTTCAAACTCCAGTACCACGGGAAAAAAAAAGTGTTTAAAAATTCTACAGCCCCTGGACAATGAACACACTCTTTCAGTTCTCAGACATAAACTGATTGAAGACCTCCAAACTGACTGAATCACCTTGGTAACTGTAAGTCGCAATATGCTAATTATCAATCTTGCAAACTCATATAAGATCACAGTGATATTTATTTAAGTATTCTACACTAGCAGAGGTAGTGGCCCGCAGCCTTTCTAAGCCTCCGTGTTCTCACTGATATCATAGGGACAATTCCAGGATCCTGGAACTCCTGAGTTCCCTCCCAGCCTCACTACATCACACAGTGGTTGCCAGAATTCAAAGAGAAAATGCATGTTCACAATGCAGACCCGCGGAGCCCCTGGCAGAGGACCACTGGATACGTTCCTTTTTCGGTCCTCACAGCTGTCCTGGCAGGTGTGTAGCACTTATTCCCACTTTCAAGATGGTGCTGAGGCTCTGAAAGGTTAAGTCACCTGCCCAGAGTCTGTAAACCCAGGCGTCCAGCTCCAAGAGCCGTGTCCACAGTCACAACTCTACCCTGGACTCACTTACTTGCCAAGGGCCTCCTGAAACCCTGCCGGCCCCGGCTTCTCCTTTAGGAGTTTGGGAGTAGATTTTATGCCTCCAGCCCCTCACCCTGTGCTCTGTGTACTCTCAGGGCTAGGGTTGCAGGTGACAGTCCTCTAAGGTGTCCAGCTGTTTATTCCCTACGACTGCCTTATCATGCATATATCCCCACCACACTCTTTTGGCTGTACTACAAGTACCAAGCGAACTGGTGGAATCACACCTAATTAGTTTCTGATGAATTCCTTTGAGAAGAGGATTATGGGAGATGCAGGGATGCGACATCCTAGTGGGTGAATGGGGGAGGTGAGGAAGTGGGCTACAGAAGAAGACAGAGGAGGATTCTGTACAGAGCTACAAGGGGTCCCCACCTGGCTACATATGGACATCGTTCCTGTCTTCATCCCTTGTTCTGGGCTGACATGGGTGTCCTCTGCTTTCTTTCTACCATACCCTCGGTGCCACCACAAGGATGCCGCATCTTCCCTAAGCCTTGGGTGTCTGTTTTGCTCTGGGTCTGAGGCCCCTGTTACACATACTGGGGCAAATCTCTTCTTGGGGGCAGGCCAGCTCTGAAGTTCTAACCTCTCAGTCACTAGCTCCATTTCCTCCCTGAGGTTCATTTCTGGCAGCCTTAGGACGTAGTCACCTGGATGGACACATCACAGTCAACACACAGTCACAGCTGTCACCCCTCATGCTTCCCCACTCTCAGGGAGGGGAGCCTCCCTGTTGTTCCTGCTGTCATCACCAGTGGCATGTCCAAGTCACCTGACAACCTGATCACTCCCCACTGAAAGCAATCTTCTCTGTGCCCCCAAACCCAGAGAGGAGGGAGGTGACTTTGTTCAGAGTGTGAGCAATACATGGGGCTATCTCTGCCTGGAGCAGTAGATATAGGCCAAGGACAAAGAGGCCTTATAGTCAGGTGGGCACTTTCTAACCTGGAGGGGAACTGGGGTGTAGGCAGGGAGACAAGCTGGGGCAGAGGGTCTGGAGGGAGCACCTAAGAAAGGAGTGACCATAAGGATAAAGTTTGGCTTTGCAGAGATACCATTAGGTCTTAGGGGATTCCAAGGCCTCCTTAGAGGGGCTGGGGGAATGGCATGCCCCCACAACTTCAGGGGAACTCACTTTGCCTCAGCATCTACTCATGCTGGACACCCCCAAAAGTGACACTGTGGCCCAAAGCAGTTGAGTACTGACTGTGCCAGGTGTCCTGTGAGAGTCATCATATTTAATCCTCCCAAATCACCTTCCTTATGTTTCAGACAGGGAAACTGAGGCTCAGAGAGGTTAAATGTCTTGCCTAAGGTCATACAGCTAGGAAGTCAGCCAAGACTGTCTTATAGTACCAAAACCCTTGACGTTTCTGCTCACAACAGAATCTTGCCCACTTTTCAGAGAGGCACAGGGTAGTGAAATCACAGAAGCTGAAATCTGGATGTTGAGGAGAGAGGGGAGGGGGAAGGGGAGCCTCTTGGCAAGCACCAGTGGGGCTGCGCCGCAGATCAAGACAAATGACCCAACAGTTGTTGGAGCCCCTGCTTCTCACACCTGCCACTTGTGCCCTCCCATTCCCTGCCTGGGCCTGACCACCTATGCTGGTACCTGCATGGCCCAGGAGGGCAGCCCTGGGTCCTCACTGAGGGGCCTCTCCCAGACCACAGAGCCTGAACGCGACAGAGGAAGGGCCACGGTAGTCAGCTGGGGGCGGGTTGGGCACTGTTCAGTCGGGGAAGGAACCTGGGAGATGCCTCTGTGCGGCTCAGCGTTGCGCAGCCAGCAGAGGCGCCTCGGACTCGCCTGGGTCCCTCCTACTGAGCATGGGAAAGTGTGCCCCAAAGGGGAAGAAGGCGCGACAGGACGCTCCCTCTGTCATCCTCCTCCTCTCATCCTCGGTGCTGAGACAGGACAACACAGCAGGCACCCAAGCAGGCGCATGGCCCAGGCGGGTCAAACTTCCTGGCTCAAGGGGGTTGGGAGGAGGGTCCAAGCTCAAACTCCGTAAAATCCCAGTCCCTTTCCTCTCCCGCTCAGCCAACAGTGCGCCCTAGTTTCCCGTCCTTGCGTGGGCTGCACAGGTGACCCCCCAAACCAGGGCGCGGGGCCGGAGAGCCGTTCTTGGGCCCTCCACACCGGGTGGATGCTCCTCTGGGACTCGAGTCAGGCAGGGAGTCCTCCCCTCCCTGCGGCCGGGGGGGCGTGATCAGGGACAGCCGCCGCGTCCGGCCCAGGTGCCCAGCTCCGGCACGCGGGAACTGGGCCGGGGGTCCGCAAGAGTCCCGGGATCCCGCTCCGTTCCGAGCGCGCTGCGGTTCCGCTCCGGACCGCGCATCCGCCCGCCCGGCGCCCGAGGCTCCGCGCGGCGCGCTCCCGGGTGCGTGCGTTCCGGGTGCCGCTGCAGAGCGCGGGGGAAGGGGCCGGGACCCTCTCCGCGCCGCTCCCCAGCACCGCTCCCAGCCCCACGCCCCTTACTCGGCTTGGCTGCCGCGCTCCGCTCCGTGCGCCGCAGCGCCGGCTCCAGCTTCGGCTCCAGCTCGGGTACCCGCTCCGGTTCCCGCTCGGATGCCGCTGCGCTCAGGCTGGGCTCGGGCGTAGCGGGGGGCGCGCCGCTCGGCCTCGGCCTGCTGGGCGCGCAGGGGTGGGGCGGGGCGGGCAGGAGAGGCAGGGCCGGGCTGAGCCGAGCTGACCAGCAGCCCACGATCCCCTCCGTGGAGGCAGAGGCGGCTTCCCAGGACCCGGCCACGGCCTTGCCCTGCCGCAGCCCCGCCTGGCCGCCCGTCGACCCCGCGCCGCCGCTCACGCCGCCGTCGCCCGATCGGGCCCCCCTCGGTGGCGGCGCGTCTCCCGGGCTCAGCACCGCTGCGCCGCGGCCCGGGTCAATCCTGCGATGGGGGGACGCGGGGGCGGGGGGAGGGCCGAGCCGCGCCCCTCTGCGCACAGCCAGCCAGACACCCACACAACGGCAGGCGGGGCAGGGCGGCGAGGAGGCCCAGAGATGCACAGAGGCCGGCGCGCCAGCCAGACGTGTGAAGGAGAGGACAGACATACAGACAGTTTCAGAGACGAGTGCACTAACCTTATGTCAGGGAAGGACAGCCAGACAGATTGGACAGAGGCAAGGCTGGGCCTTTGGGCAGGGAAAGCCTATCACAGGCAAAGAGCAAAGGGCAGGACGGAGGGGTGGGGGCTGCAGGTGCGACACAGCTGGGCTGGGCCGTTGGGAGGGGCAAAGGTGCTTGTTTTGGTCTCCTGTGCCCAGTTGCTAGCTGGTTAATTCTGGGATGCAGGACATCACCTAGGCCTGGCCGAAGTCTGCCCTCTGAGCCATCAGCAGGCCTATTTCCTTCAGTCCTCGTCCACCCTGCGCCCTCTATCCGGGAGTTCTTCTCTGGCAGGTGCAAGCCTGGGGTAGGGGTTGGCCTAGGGGATGGATCTGCTTCCAGCACCAGCTCTGTCCGCATTCTACTTTGGGGCCTTGGACAAATCCTAGCGCATCCCCCAGGCCTCCTTTTCTTCATTACCATAGTTTTTTGCACCTTAGGTTGGGGGTCTCAATTGTTACGTGTAGAATCATTTTTAATATCTACTTGCCTGGAAGTTCCATGAGGAATGCGCGATGGTGGGGCTGTAGGGGTCTACGGCAGAGTGCCCACTTGGTAAATTTGATGACTGAATCTATGAACTACATGATTGCCAGCCATTTCCAAACCCCCATTTTATTGATGAAGACAAGCCAAGTTGTTTCAAAACCCAGAGGCCTGCCATGGAAAGTGGTTCTCAAAAATAAAATACGATGACAAAGAGTTGAACATGCTGTTGATAAGGCTTGGGGAAGCAGAGGAGCCCTGGGGACAGTGTGGAAGGGAAATGAGCCAGCCAAGTGCCCTGCAGGAACGGTGGGGACAGAGCAAGCTCCTGGAGAAAATCAACCTCATTCCACCTCCCCTCTCTGTCAGGCACCACAGCTTGGGCTTCCTGGAGGAGGACCCCTCTCAGCCTCATTCTGGGCTCTGCCATCCAGGACCTGGACAGGCATATTTGAACTTATGGCTGTCATGGGGGCAGCTGTGTGGCATGAGTGACAGGGGCAGGAATGAAAGAAACCTCTGAGTCCTGAAAAAGGGGACTGAGAAGCCCTTTGCCCAGTCCCATGCATTTATTTTGTGGATGAACAAATGAAAGATCAGAGAAAAGAGGAGATAGGGCAGGGCCAGAGGGCTAGGATTGGAGGATCCAAAACGCCCAAACCAAGGCTATGCTCATGGCCCAAAGGGTGACCTTAATCTCCCTGAGCAACTACAGATACTGGGTTGCTGAGTGGTTGTACCTGTAAGCCATCTTCTTTAGCAAGATCATGTGTGGATGTGTTTTGGGGTGGTGGTGGCTCACTTTGAGTGAGTCTTTGTAGAAGGATCTAACCCTAAAGAGTTCATCCCCCTCTCTCCCCAATTCGAGCATCAGTGGTCTGGCAAATCCAGCTTGTTCATTTCCAGTAGGCCTGGTGGTATTGGATCTAAGCTTCACGGAGTTGAATTCTGCCTACCTAACTGTATCCGTCCATTCACAAATACATATTGTACAGGGCCACCTGTTAACCTTGAGCTTTCTTTTTTCTACTTGTGTAACTCTGCAAGTATCCTGAAATGGAATGAGGTCGGTAAGTACTATACTCCTCTCCTCCCATGTCTCACTTGGGCTGCCTCGCGTTGGTACCAGATGGTGGTGGTATATTTTATGTAACCAGTCCCCTATGGCTGGGCACTTAGGTTGTTTCTGTTTTCTACATTGCAGTGCAGTGACTCCTCATAGTAAGTCTGTGTATGTCTCTGGCTGTCCTTTGCCTCAGTGGGTAGGTATGTTCAGATATTTTTGAGGTGTTCCTTTGCACAGATTCAGCCATACAGGAAGGGAATCTTCTGGGCACTGGAGAAGCATAGTGGTGTCTAGTGTCTGCCCAGAGTCAAATAGGGAGGTTGGAGAGGACAGCCTTTAGGAAATCCCGTGGTAATGCTGTGAGCTGAATGTGTGTCCCCCAAGTCCACGTGAAGGAAACTCCATCCCCCAAGGCAACAGCATTGAGATATGGGACCTTTAAGAAGTGATTCGAAGAGCTGGCGGAGTGGCTCAAGCGATAGAGAATTTGCCTAGCAAGTGTGAGGCCCTGAGTTCAAACCCCAGTACCACCAAAAAGAAAAAAGGAAGACGTGATTTGGTCATGAAGGCTCTGCCCTCACGGGGGGTGGATTAGAGCCATTATCCAGGGAGTGGGTGGTTTTGAGCTCAGCGCCCTTCTCATACTCTCTGCCCCTTGGGGTGCTTTCTACCACATTATGAGGTGGCAAGAAGGCCATCCCCAGGTGTGGCCTCTTAAACTTGAACTTTCCAGCCTCCAAAACCATAAGTCAAGTATATTACTGGTTCATTGTAAATTACCAAGTCTGTTGCAGTCTGTTATAGCAGCACCTTAGGGCAATGAGAAGCCCTGAGAGACCCCAGGTGCTGGGCTGTGGGGACTTGCCCTAGGGTGTGTTTCATGTTACCCCAGTCACACACAGGGAACCTCAAAATGTCCTTTCTCTTTGTAAAGAACGGGGGCCATGATGTCATCCATCCCAATCAGGAGGCTTGGGGCAGAAATGTTGGAAGGGCCTCCTGGCTAGATTCAGCTTCTTCCTCCCCATCATCCTTTCCTCCTTTAAACCTCTTTGCCTCACCAGCTCACCCCTCACCCCAGGGAGGGTAAACTTGTCCATATTATTGTTGAGGGGAGGAATTGTCTGAAAACTAAGGGTGGACGATTCTCTGTCCTCTGGGTGGGATCTCTGTCTAAAAAACCCATTAGGTCTTTTGGGAAGGTTTCCTCTTGCTCAGGTATCCCTTTTACGGAAGTGGCTCCCTAGCCTTGAACTGCATTTCTGCTGTCTATATGGCTTGGCCATGGGGCTGGGAGTAAGGAGGCAGAAAAAGCTCTCTAACCATCTGATAGTCACTGAAGGTGCCCTGGGGTAGGTTGTGGTGGCACTGAGGCTGATGAAGGAAGAGACCTTGGCTCATGCTTGGTGGGAGGTGTGGAGACAGGGACCAGGTCCTCCTAAAGCCACCAGTTCAGAGGTGGCTCCTGATGCAGAGGGAGGAAACTGGGGGGCAGGCCAACACCCATGATCCTGGAGCAGCTCTTGTCTACTGAGACTTCCACTTTACAGATGGGGAAACTGAAGCCCTCAGGATTTAGGAGATGTACAGCTGATAGGTAGCACCAGATAAGATTAGATGTTTAAAAACAGACAAAAAAAGACAACCAGGTGTCCTTTTAATTGAATATTAGGTATCACTTGTTTCCACAGGGGCTTATGCCTGTCATAGTCATAATTTCTCAGTTATTCTATTATTCTGCAAGTCCTAGAAAACTGGTAGTAATGCAAACTGTTCTGGTCCAGGCGAGGTCAGTTGATATCTCGTGGGGAGGACTGGCTCAGCAGTGCATGTAGGAGCACTTTTTGGGTTCTCCTTTGAATTGTCATAACATCCTTTTGTGTGTGTGTGTGTGTGTGTGTGTGTGACTGGGGTTTGAATTCAGGGCTTCATGCTTGCAAAGCAGGTGCTCTGCTGCTCGAGCCACACCTTTAGTTCATTTTGCTCTGGTTATTTTGGGGATGGGTTCTCGTGAACTATTTGCCAGGGCTGACTTTGAACTTCAGTCCTCCCGATCTCAACTCCCAAGTGGCTAGGATTACAGGGGTGAGCCAGCTGCACCCAGCTGAATCATGTGTACTATCTTAATGGTTGCCCCTTGGTAAGTTGAATACTCTTTTTGACATGCATACATTTTATATTTGTATGATATCTTCCTTTACAAAGTTTATTCTTTAGCAGTAGTAGCTTGGTATTTCAGTCCGGTGGGTCTGTCTTATGACAGAGCTTTGTCTTTTGTTGGAGGGGTCAAGGGCGTGGGCCCTAGAAGGGAGGGAAATTAGTGTGTGCTGGATTGGTTCTAAGTGGCTTCCTTGAAGAGGGTATTGAGGGAGACGGAGGACTTATAGAGTGAAACCTGAGAATGAAGGACTAGGCAACACAGACAATGCTGGTAAAGTGAGAGGTAAAAGTAACTGTTTCATGCATTGTTATGATGGGATGAAATAACACATATGGAGTGCTTAGTACAGTTTCTGACACATAAGTCTTAATAGATGGTGCCTACGTATGTTGAATGTCTACTTGTAAAAGAGCAAAGAAGCCAGGCACGTGTGGTTCATGTCTGTAATCCTAGCTACTTGGGAGGCTGAGATTGGGAGCATCGTGGTTCCAGGCCAGCCTGGGCAAATAGTTCATGAGACCCCATCTCAACCAATAGCTGGGAGTAGTGGTGTGTGCCTGTCATCCCAGCTAGGTGGGAGGCTGAGATCAAGAGGATTGAGGTTCTAGGCCAGCCTGGGCAAAAAAGGTTGTGCGACCTCATCTCAACAGAAAGCTGGGCATGGTGGCACGCACCTGTTATCCAGTTATGGTGGGAAGCATGAGTAGGAGGATCGCAATCCAGGTCATCTGGACTCCAGTACCCTATCTCCAAAATAACCAGTGAAAAAAGGGATGGAA